AATGTATTCAATCCTAGGTCCACGGAGAGATTTGGTGAGAACATCAGCAAGTTGATCATTTGACCCAACAAATGTGGTAACAATGTCTCCGGATGCGACCTTCTCTCGTATAAAGTGGCAATCAACCTCAATATGTTTAGTCCTTTCATGGTAGACAGGATTAGACGCAATGTGGAGCGCTGCTTGATTATCACAAATTAATTTCATAGGACCATGCTTATAGAAATTGAGTTCTGTAAGAAGTTGTTTAACCCAAATTAGCTCACATATTCCAAGTGCCATTGCTCGGTATTCAGCTTCTGCGCTTGAGCGTGCAACCACATCTTGTTTCTTACTTTTCCAAGAGACAAGATTACCTCCAAATAGAATACAATATCCTGATGTTGATCTCCTATCCCAAGGACATCCAGCCCAATCTGCATCTGTATAGCCAACAATTTCTGTATGTCCATGATCTTTATAGAGCAACCCTGTACCTGGAGACCTTTTCACATATCTCAATATTCTGACGGCTGCATCCCAATGACTTTGACATGGCTCTTGCAAAAATTGGCTAACTACACTTACAGCAAATGAGATGTCTGGTCGAGTGATAGTCAAGTACAATAGCTTGCCAACTAATCTCCGATACTTACTTGAATTGGATAGGAGCTCCCCCTGTCTTGGAAGAAGTTTGACATTTGGATCCATGGGTGTGTCAACTGGTTTGCAATTTGTCATTCCTGTTTCTTCAAGAATATCCAAAACATATTTTCGTTGAGACACATAGATACCTTGTTTGGATTGAGCAACTTCAATACCAAGAAAATATTTCAATTTTCCAAGATCCTTTGTCTCGAAATGTTGAAACAAATGTTTCTTAAGCTGATTTATTCCTTCACTATCATTCCCTGTAATGACAATATCATCAACATAAACCACAAGATATATACTTTTTCCAAGTAGATGTTTATAGAAAACAGAATGGTCAGCCTTGCTTTGAATCATGCCAAATTGTTGGATCACATCTCTAAATCTCCCAAACCAGGCACGTGGAGATTGCTTCAACCCATAGAGAGAGCGCTTAAGACGACAAACAAGATTAGCTCCTGTCTTAGCCACAAATCCAGGTGGCTGCTCCATATACACTTCCTCATTCAGATCCCCATGTAAGAAGGCATTCTTTATATCCAACTGATACAGTGGCCAGTGATGGTTGGCTGCCATTGAGAGTAAGAGGCGGATAGAAGTGATCTTGGCCACCGGTGAGAAGGTATCCGTGTAGTCAATGCCAAAAACCTGTGTGTATCCTTTAGCCACAAGTCGAGCTTTGAGTCTATCAACTTGTCCATCTGGACCAACCTTCACATTATACACCCATCTACAACCAACCACAGTTTTACCAGGAGGTAAAGGTACTAACTCCCAAGTCCCGGAAGAATGTAGTGCATTCATTTCATCAACCATTGCTTGAGTCCACCCTGGATTAGTTAATGCCTCCTTGACATTGTTTGGAACAAAAGCAGTTGACAAACTAGCAATGAAGGCACAATATGATGGAGACAGACGTTTTTGTGAAAGGAAATTATAGATAGGGTAAGGATTTCGAGTGGATCTTTTACCTACCCGACTGGCAATGGGAGAGTCTGTCGTGGTGTTTTGGGCAGCATCATTGGGTAACAATGATGTAGAACATGACTCAACTGGATGTCTATCCTCTTGGGAATCTTAACGATTGCGTCGTTGGTAGGTGTACAACAACGGTGGAATATGTCCTTCCTCTTGAATGGTTGGAGTTGGAATAGTTCTTTCAGGAATAGGTATGGTCCTTTCAGGAACAGTGGGAGATATAGGTTCTGAGAAAGTAGGAACAGGGAGAATTTCTGTGATTTCAATGGGTTCCCCTAGGAAATTAGACTCAACGGAGGTGGAAGAGAAAAAAGGTGTTGTTTCAAAAAAGGTAACATCGGAAGAGGTATAAAACCGGTGTGTTCTAGGACAGTAACACTTAAAGCCTTTTTGGAGGCGAGAATACCCAAGGAAAACACATTTTATTGCCTTGGCATCAAGTTTATCACGCCCTGGAGAAGTATTATGAACAAAGCAAGTACACCCAAAGATTCGCAATGGAAGCTTATGGAGAGGTTCCTGTGGACGTAAGATATGAAGAGGAATTTTTCCTTGCAAAACAGAGGAAGGCATACGATTTATGAGATAGCAAGAGTGAAGTATAGCATGCCCCCAAAAATTCTTAGGTACCTTGTTATGAATAAGCAAAGTACGAGCTGTTTCAACAAGATGACGAATTTTTTGTTCAGCAACTCCATTCTGTTGAGGAGTTCTAGCACATGATGATTCATGAAGTATTCCATTTGAGGAAAAGAAAGAAGTGAAAGGGTCAGAAAAATATTCTCTTGCATTATCACTGCGTAAGATTTTGAGAGATGCCCCAAATTGATTCACAATTTCATTGTAGAATTTTTGAAACACATCAAATAATTCAAAACGGTTCTTCATTAGAAAAACCCAAGTGCATCGAGAGAAATCATCAATGAAGACAACAAAATATGAGAAACCCAAAGTGGATGAAACTCGACACGGTCCCCAAACATCAGAGTGAACTAAAGAAAATGGGGTATTGGCCCTCTTATTCACTCTACTAGGATATGAAGCCCTTGAGTGCTTCCCAAGCTGACATGATTCACACTCTATGGTTTTTAAATTCGACAATCCAGGAACCAGTTGTTTTAATTTATTGAGGTCAGGATGTCCTAAACGACAATGGTTAAGAAGGGGTGAAATAGAAGCCGAGCAAGCTGTTTTGGTATTGGCAGAACATGAAAGATGGTATAGACCTCGTGATTCATATCCTACACCAATTGTCCCTTTTGTTTGACGGTTTTGAATAACCACCGAATCAGAAGAAAAGGTGACAAGGCAATTAAGTGAGTGAGTAAGTTGATTAACTGAAATCAAATTGAAATGGCAACCAGGAATGTAAAGGACATTGGATAAAGACAAAGAATGAATGGTGACTTTTCCAATTCCTATAGCTTTTCCTTTTGATCCATCACCAAATGTGACATCGGGAAGAGAATCTGAGAACTCAATATTAGAGAAAAATGAGAGATTACCAGAAATGTGATCAGTGGCTCCAGAATCAAGAATCCAAGATGAATCAGATTTTAATGCAAGAGCAGTATGAGACAAGTTGGTCCTTGCAACTTTCAGCATGCTGTTTAAACTCTCATGTTTTGCCATAGCTTTCAGAAAAATATGAAAAAATCACCATATAATCGCAGAAAAGGGACAAACTGAGTTGGAAAATTTTGTCGGAAAAGGGATGATGAACAGTCACCACTGTTCATCGGCTGTAGGTGTTTGAGAGAAATTTCAGGCCCCAAAAAAGAGGCTCTGATACCATGTTAAAAGCTAGAAAGGGTTCTTGTATTGTATCTAACTTCAAGTTACAAGTCTATATATAGGTCTACAAAAGTAAACAATAATAAATAAAGAAACTACTCATCTCCCCAAGGCTTTAATTACTGAGGCTTGTGAGCTGCCCATTTAATTACTAAGGCTAGTGAGCTGCCCAAGACTTTTAATATTCCAACAAGTTGTATGGTGGAGTTTCTGCGAAGGCGGAGGCTTCACTGTCCTTAGATCGGAGGGCACTGCGTGAGGCTGGCTTCACAGAGCAGCGATAACCTCCTCCTCTCTGCGGTGGAAGGATAACTGGCCGGTGCAACCTCAGCCCACTACTGCCGGATGGGCTCCCCAAATGAACCACCATCTTTTTCTTTTGGGGCCACACAGCCAATAAACTTATAAACCCCTTTACAACAATGAAGAATTTAGAGAGCTAAGTGGGAGGGAGTGTGAAGTGTTTCAGCACTGTATACTGGAGTCATTTTCACATTCTTTAGCATTATAATTATGTATGTTTATCTCAATTTTTTAACAAAAAAAAAAAAAAATTACAGTTTAGAAAAACACTTTTTAGGTAAAATTATTTAAAATTTCATATGAATTTTTAAATTTAAATATTCAGAATATTTATGAATGTGTTTAGTATTGGGACTCCTTAATAGTAGCAATGTTGTATTATGTAAACTGTATTTGTCTACAAGGATTCAATATTTTCTCACATTCGTTTATACTGTTTTGTCTCCTTCAAGCAACTCAATTCCTGCTGCTAAGACCTCTTCAAGCAAGTTGGTACCATTGCTCTAAAAACTAAAAAGAATACTTTAAAATGGCCAAAAATGATACCATATTAAGAATGTCAATATTTAAAAAAGTAACTCCAAAAACCATTTTAAAAACTAAGTACACTTGAAAATGCTGAAAATAAAACCTGAAAACACAGAAAATCATTTTAAATACTAAAAGAATACTTGAAAAAGCTGAAAATCATTTTTATAATTAAAAAGAACACTTTAAAACACTGAAAATCATTTTAGAAACTAAAAAGCAGAAGTGCTTGCTGTTGTAAACTTGTAACAATTAGGTTATGACTTAGATTTTAGACACTTGAAATCATATAATATTAATAGTACTTAATAAACCAAATAAAAGGAAACCTGGAGTGGTTTTAGTTCTTCTGCAAAAGCATCAATTTCTTGGGCTCCACTAACATACTAAAAGGAAAGTGAAAAATGCATATTATGCCAACCAAGACAATTCTCGGGCTCCACTGACATGCTGAATACACGAATATACCAGTATTACTTAACAGGAGCATAATGCAGAATTTACGGGTTCATAACAAGCAGGAGCTTACCTTCTGCAAGATAGGAAAACTCAAAGCACAAATTTCTTTAGCAGAGCATCTTATCTGAAAGGTAAAATAAGAGACCATGAGGATTGAGCTTTGGCCTCCTCCATTGTAAACAAACTTGAAACATCTAACTACAAGCCAAGTGATGATGTTCTATAATTTAACAGAACTGTGTTGAAGATAGTGTGGTACCTTTTGACGAGGAATTCCCAACAGTATGCCCAACTCATCAAAGCTGCCCAATTTTACATATATAGTACCAAGGCTTCCAAATAATGTTGCTGGTCTTTCATCATTTCCTCCCAAGCCTGCATCAATATATAATCGAGCACAATTCATATAAAATACAAATGTATAGATGGAGATAGTACAAGTTGGAGATCATAGTTGCTCTAGTGGATTTGGAGAGGAGAAAACCATAGGGGGCTAAGCAGTGACGCTCTAGTTGCTCCGTTACTGAACCACTTCACCATTTTCCTACCACAACCAAATCTATACAAACCGCCGCTGCAACTTCAATTCATTTCTAAAACTTCAGCAAACTACAATTAAACTAAATAATAAAAACGCACGAAAATATATAATGTGAGATGGAAAAGAAAATGAAGCAAAGCTTATAGGGTGTTATTGGACGCTGCAGCAGAACCTAATCATCTCTGCCTTTCCATTCACTCAGTGAAGCAAATTAAAGCTTCCAGGCTATATATGTCTCTGCTTCACATATAAGCCCCTCCCCCCTTCAACAAAAATGATACAATTTCCATCACAAAAACAAAAATCAAGGCTTCGCAAATCTCATAGCTGTCAAAAACCATGAGTGAGTACACGATAGTTTTCTGCTCCACTTTTTCCCCATGAAAGCCAAACAAGCCCTTGCACAATTTCCCACATCGAAACCAGATGAGAAATATTCTCTTAATAAATTCCTAGCTAGAATACTGCCTTGCTGTCCTTGGTAGCGCGAGCCTGTAACCCAAGTGGGAGCATTGAGATGGTGGAACAGTTGGGCTTGCCTTGAAGGTTGGGTTGGGGTTGCTATCTACTGGCCTGCCCATTCCAATTGGTGAGTTGTATGGCGGAGTCTCTGCGAAGGCGGAGGCTTCACTGTCCTTAGATCGGAGGGCACCGCGTGAGGCTGGCTTCACAGAGCAGCGATAACCTCCCCCTTTCTGCGGTGGAAGGATAACTGGTCGGTGCAACTTTGGTCCGCCAGCTGCCTGATTGGCTGCCCAGGTGAACCACCATCCACTAATCAAACCATAAAATTTTAACTTTTAGAATTGAAATTTAAAAAAAAAAAAAATTACTTATATTCAAGAAATTGACAGCAAAATGATCAAGAATTACAAATTAGAAAAATTGACAGCAAAATGATCAAGAATTACAAATTAGAAAAATAATTTCAAGAGAGAAGACTGCCCGAACTTGATACAAAAAGCTGTGAGTCTTTCTTTTTTCTTTTTGAAGCACTCATGATTCTTTACAAGATAGTATCTTATCTATATATACTTAGTAAGTGGAGGATTGATCAAATTTTCTTTTAAATTGGAAATTTCAGGAATAGAAAATTGAACAATAAAAAACTTGTATTAAACTCAATTCTCCACATTTGTAAACTCTCTCCATTCCTCCTATTTTTGGCATTTGATAATTTAATTACCAGTTGATTGATCTATGCAATCAAAACCCATATACAAACATGACAGTTCCCACATCGTTCTCAGATGACAAATATGCCTCCCTCACCTGAATCAACATACAACCGAGCACATTCAAAGCAAAATATACAAATTTTATCTTGAATTTTTAAGAAAAAGGTGGAAGTTGTATAGATGGAGAGAGTACAAGTTGGAGATCATAGTAGGTTGATTTGGAGAGGAGAGAACCATCCGGTCGGGAGGATCTGTGCTTCAATTCCTTCAACATTTTCCAACCAGAACCTGTCTATACAAACCTCCATTGCAACTTCAATTCATTTCTAAAACTTCAGCCGTCACAATTCAAACTAAATAATAAAAACGTGTGAAAATAATGTCAGATAGAAATGAATTCATGAAGCAAAGCTTATAGGATGATAGGGTGTGATTGGATGCTGCCAGCAGAACCCATCTCTGTCATTTCATTCAATGAAGCAAAGCTTCCCGGCTCTATAGATTAGGCAGTCTTAGGGATTTAAGTAGGTAAGACATATGGTGGAAACTTGTTTCCTTTTCGTAGTCTTCTAGGTCCTATTTATATGGCTTTGTATTCTCTATTCTATATGACAGTATAAGACAGCATACAACAGTATATTCAGAAATCCTCTCTTTACTTTCGTAACAGACTGTAAATGTTAAAAAAGTAACTCTGAAAAGCTTTTAAAAAACTAAAATGAACACTTGAAAACAATGAAAATAATTTTAAAACTAAAAAGAAAATGCAGAAAATAATTTAAAATACTAAAAATAATACTTGTAAACGCTGAAAATCATTTTAAAAACTAAAAAGAACACTCAAAAAATGCTGAAAATCATTTTTAAAAAACAAAGGGAAAAGAACCCAAAACTGTAGGAAAAACCAGATTAAGATTGTAAATGTTAAAATAGTAACTCTGAAAAGCTTTAAAAAACAAAAATGAACACTTGAAAACAATGACAATAATTTAAAAACTAAAAATAAAACACAGAAAATCATTGAAAATACTAAAATAATACTTGAAAACGCTGAAAATCATTTTAAAGACTAAAAGAACACTCAAAAATAGGCTACCTCCTACCATGCATGCCCTTGCTATAGGGCCATGTACGAGACAAAAATAGGCTCACATGGGCACTTCGTTGGCTCGTCGCCCCTCGGTGCCTAGTCATAGTCGGTAGTAGGCCGTTGGGCGCAGGCGGGCTCAGCCGCCTTGCCACTAAGAATGGGAAGAGGTCATGTTTTACTTTGCCTTATTTTATAGAGAGCAGGAATTGTATCTGGTGTAAGTCTCAAGTAGGAGAATGTGCTCTAAAACCCTAAAAGAACAAGAGGACATATTAGAAGCTATTTGGCTTGGTGATCCCTTATTCAAATGAAGTTTATCGATCCTAACGAGGTTGCAATTCCGGGTTCACCCCTCTTACTCTATCTACATTCATCTTCACTAACAAGGGTTGTTCCCATTCCCACATAATGAGTGTCTCATATTTCATTTTAGAAGAGGAGGAGCCAAAATTAACACTTTGTTGAAGCAACATTGTCTGACCTTTCATTGTTTCCAGCTTCTTCAATCCCAGCCTGCATTTCTCATGCTCATTCCCCTCTGTTCTCTTCTTCTCTCTTTTCTCCCCTTGATAGCAACAACATTTAGAATCTAAATGATTTTTGATCTCACGTGAAAGCAATATCTGCTATTCTGCAATGTCCTACAATATCAGAAAAATACAAGTGTTAACATATATGTTCCATTAGAATCACTTAGTTCAAGACTTCAAGTAATTAGAATAGCAATATACAACTCAAACACTTATAACTCAGCAAAAACTTGCAAAGCAATTCCTCAATCCAAAAAATCAAAGGTCATACCATGGATAACGGCAACTGCCCGAGTTGAATTTCCCATAAATAATTAGGCGTTATTCCAAGGTACTGATTGGGAGCACCTCCAATTGAAAGAGATTGCTGATACTCTTTCACCATCACAATTGCCTCTACGTAAACTGCCTACATTATTATTTATCCATTATCGATAAAAGCATCAAATTGTACACAAAGTAGCATGACAAAAAATCTGTATGCATAACCTATCTCAAATCACAATCCTAATTTCCCCTAAACTCAATAAACGATCAAAACTACTAAATTTTACATATATAGTACCAAGGCTTCCAAATAATGTCGCCGCACTTTCATCATTTCCTCCCAAGCCTGCATCAATATATAATCGAGCACATTTCATATAAAATACAAATAAAAATACAAGTGTATAGATGGAGAGAGTACAAGTTGGAGATGATAGTTGCTCTAGTGGATTTGGAGAGGAGAAAACCATCGGGGGCTAAGCAGTGACGCTCTAGTTGCTCCATTACTGAACCCCTTCACCATTTTCCTACCACAACCAAATCTATACAAACCGCCGCTGCAACTTCAATTCCTTTCTATAACCTCAGCAAAGTACAATTAAACTAAAAAATAAAAACGTATGAAAATATATAATGTGAGATCGAAATGAAAATGAAGCAAAGCTTATAGGGTGTGATTAGATGCTGCCAGCAGAACCCAATCATCTCTGCCATTCCATTCACTCAGTGAAGTGAAGCAAACTAAAGCTTACAGGCTATATATGTCTCTGCTTCACATATAAGCCCTTCCCCCCTTCAACAAAAATGATACAATATCCATCACAAAAACAAAATTCAAGAACCATGAGTGAGTACACGATAGTTGTCTGCCCCACTTTTTTCCCCATGAAAGCCAAACAAGCCCTTGCCCAATTTCCCACATCAAAACCAAATGAGAAATATTTTCTCTTAATAAATCCCTAGCTAGAAGAATTGCTTGCTGGGCTTGGTAGCATGAGCTTGTGACCCAAGTGGGGGCATTAAGATGGTGGAACAGTTGGGCTTGCCTTAAAGGTTGGGTTGGGTTGCTATCTACTGGCTTGCCTGTTCCAAGTGGTGAGTTGTATGGTGGAGTCTCTGCGAAGGCGGAGGCTTCACTGTCCTTAGATTGGAGGGCACTGCATGAGGCTGGCTTCACAGAGCAGCGATAACCTCCTCCTCTCTACGGTGGAAGGATAAGGTGCAACCTCAGTCCACTAGTGCCTGATGGGTTGCTTAGGTGAACCACCATCTTTTTCTTTTGGGGCCACACAGCCAATAAACCCCTCCCTTTACAACAATGAAGAAAAACACTGTAGTCTAAGTGGGAGGGAATGTGAAGTCCTTTTCACATCTTTTCTTTACCATTATAATTATGTATGTTTAGCTCAATTTAAAAAAATTACAATTTAGAAAAACACTTTTTAGGTAAAATTATTTAAAATTTCAAATGATTTTTTAAATTTAAATATTCAAAATGTTTATGAATGTGTTTAATATTGGGACTCCTTAATAGCAGCAATGTTGTACTATATATGTAAACTGTATTTGTCTACAAGGATTCAATATTTTCTCACATTTGTTTATATTGTTTTGTCTCCTTCAAACAACTCAATTCCTGCTGCTAAGACCTCTTCAAGCAAGTTGGTACCATTGCTCTTGCTATTGATGCCGCTAAAAATTAATTGTGTAGAAAATATCTATGGGGAATTTGGTTAGAGTATCAAAATTGGAACTAGAATCGCTAAGACCCCTTCAAGCAAGCTGGTACCATTGTTCTTGCTATTAATGCCGCTAAAAATATCTAAGGGCCGTTTGGTTAAAGTATCAAAATTAGAATTAGAATTGCAATCAAAACTCAATCCTCGTGAAGCATGTCGCGAATAAAGCATCAGACTGGAAACCACTCAGAAGCTAGAATTTCCTTGATAAAGCATCAGACTAGAAGAGGTAAAGTACTAAACTCACATGCATATTTATGCTGATGTTGCAACTTTATATCTTTGACAAGCTTGCTAACCACTCTTATAAGTATCAGCTCCAAAACGTTGAATGGAAACACAGATTATATGTCAGCATGCTGAGAAACAAAGTTCTTTACATCAGTGGAAGGCACAATCCAGTCCAGAGATCAAGAAGAGGAAAGTGCAGATAAAAGGCTGAAAGAGATCTATACATTGTAATATTCTTCAAATTTTCTACCGATGAACATAAATCTTCACGCAGAAATGCTTCTTCTCTCTCAATCTCCTCAATTACATACTTTACCTAGTTTAGATGATTAGTTAGATAACCTGTCTCAGAGCTATACAATGAAGTATTTTAGAGAACAATCTATATAAATATATCTCCACTCCTCCACTGGCTTCAGTTTTTGATGTCCTTTAAAAAAACTCTGTAATGAAGTAAAAGCTGAAATGGCAGATGCTAGAGTAACAAAATTGTGCCACATGCCATGTTATGTTAGTATTGATCAAGGCCACAATCAATGATTATTTAAATTATTTAATACCATTTAGATTATTTAAATAAATAATTTATAAACTAGAGTTGAAGTGGCAAATGGTTCACAAAAAGGATGAATTTTTAAAAGATTTGCTGCAGAAAGAGCTTGCTCATACTTTTCCACCAATGCAATTGCCTCTATGTAAAACTGCCTACATTATTTATCCATAATCCATAAAAGGATCAAATTGTACTCAAATTAGAATGAAAATAATAATAATAATAATAATAATAATAATAATAATAATAATAATAATAATAATAATAATAATAATAATAATAAAATTCTCAAATCACAACCCTAATTTCCCCTAAATTCAATATATAATCAAAACTGCAAAATTTAACATATATTGCACCCATGCTTCCAAATAATGCAGCCGCTCTTTCCTCATCTCCTCCCTCGCAGCATCGCCTGCATCAACTTGAACCAGTCTATATGAACTGCTGCTGCAACTTCAATTCATTTCTAAAACTTTAGCCGCTACAACTTAAACTAAATAATAAAAACGTATGAAAATATATAATGTGAGATGGAAATGAAAATGAAGCAAAGCTTATAGGTTTTGAATGGATGCTGCCAGCAGAAGTCCAATCATATCTGCCATTCCATTCAGGGAAGCAAAGCTTCCAAGCTATGTCTCTGCAATTTCATTCAGTGAACAAAAATGATACAATTTTCATCACGAAATTAAAATAAAAATCAAGGCTTCATCTACATACCTAAGTTTTGTCGAACAATATGATACACCGCAAAAATCATGAGTACACGATAGTTGTCTGCTCCATTTTTATCCCATGACCAGCCCTTGCACAATATCCCACATCGAAACCAGATGAAGAATATGTTCTCTTAATAAGTCCCTAGCTAGAAGAATTGCATGCTGGGCTTGGTAGCATGAGCCTATAACCCGAGTGGGAGCATTAAGATGGTGGAACAGTTGAGCTTGCCGTGAAGGCTGGGCTTGGTATGCTATCTTCTGGCCTGCCCATTCCAAGTGGTGAGTTGATGTAGGAGTCTCCACGAAGGTGGAGGCTTCTCTGTCTTTAGAACGGAGGGTACCGCGTGAGGCTGGCTTCACAGAGCAGCGAAGACCTCCTCCTCTCTGCAGTGGAAGGATAACGGGCCAGTGCATCTTCAGTCCACTAGCGCCTGATTGGCTGTCCAAATTGAACCACCATCTTTTTACCTGTTGGCCAAGTTAGCATGGGCGGCCACACAGCCCAATAAAGCCTTTACAACAGTTAGAGAGCTAAATGGGAGTGTGAAGTGTTCCGGGGTAGCATGGGCAACAAGAACATTTTTTACCTTCATTTTCTAAATTTAATATTTTAGATAAAATTATTCAAAATTTCAAATGATTCTAAAATTGATATATTCAGAATATTTGTAAATGTGTTTAGTATTGGGACTCCTTAATAAAAACAATTATATATGTAAATTGTATTAGCATGGGCCACACAGCCCAATAAAGCCTTTACAACTGTAACTTATATGGACTTGGGTATATAACACAGTAACATACCAAGTGCACATAAAATACAACTAATAATTGGGAGTTGAGTAGCATACACTACTAAACTATAAAGCATATGTCGAAAAATTCAAGTTCATTTCAACTTGCTGAACTGTCCAAAGCATATTTTCCAATTTCTGCAAAATGAACTAAAAAATTATATGAATTTAATTATCTGGAAAGCGTAAAGGGAGTAGTAGAGTAGAACATTTTACTCAAAACATATTTCTTTACCTTAACTATGTCACAGAATTGTCTGGCGATCATGTTGGAGTGAGGATCACGTACACCTGAAAACTCATTTAGACGGGTGATCTATTGCAAATAATTAAATATGACTCAATTTTCATGGTGGTATGTAATAGAAATATTCACTTGCAGTGTTCAAATTCACATATTTTTATGCCGATGCTGCAACTTTATATCTTTCACAAGCTTGATAAGCATGTACTCCAAGTATCTGCTTCAAAACCTTGAATGGAAACACAAGTTATATCTCAGTATCCTGAGAAACAAAGTTCTTTAACTCGGAGGAAGACACAATTCAGTCCATAATTATTATATGCTGAGAAACAAAGTTCTTTAACATTCAACCAGTGGACAATAGTGAATAAAAAGATAGCCTCCTTAGCATTAGCAAGCATATAAAAGAGAGAAAGATTCGAACTGAAGAATGAAGATGGATGAAAGTGCAGTGTAGGAGCAAAAACCATAAATGAATGGAAGGAAGGTTATTGCAATGCTTGCTGACATACCAATTCAATGTCATCTATCGCATGACAAAAAATGTGTATGCTTATATAATCTCAACTCACAACCCTAATTTCCCCTAAACTCAATAAATGATCAAAACTGCTAAATTTTAGATATATAGTACCATGGCTTCCAAATAATGCTGAAGCCTTTCGTCATTTCCTCCCTCGCCTGCATCTATCAATATATGATCGAGCACATTTCTAAACTAAACAATAAAAACATATGAAAATAATGTGAGATGGAAATAAAGATGAAGCAAATTAAAGCATATAGGGTGTGATTGGATGCTGCCAGCAGAACCCAATCATCTCTGCCTTTCCATTCAGTGAAGCAAATTAAAAACCATGCATAAACATTAGTACATGCATGATAGTTCTCTGCTCCATCTTTTCCCCATGAAAGCCAAACAAGTCCTCGCACAATTCCCACATCGAAATCAGATGAGAAATTTGTTCTCTTAATAAGTCCCTAGCTAGAAGCATCACTTGCTGGGCTTAGTAGCGCAAGCCTGTAACCCCAGTGGGAGCATTAAGATGGTGGAAAATTGGCCTAGTGGGTTGACGGGAAGTTTCTCTGCGAAGGTGGAGGCAAGAGACCGAGGTGCCTCGGCCTTCAGATTACCAGCGTGTTCCTCCCTTCTCTCTGCGCTGCAAGTGTAACTGGCTGGTCATCCCCCCTAATAAAACCACCTATCTTTCCCTTATTTTTTTCTTTAGGAAAAGGATCAAAATTTCAAACATTCACCAATAAAGGCAACATAACATTCAACCAGTGGACAATAGTGAAGGCTGAGGTAAGTGTGGGAGGTACCTTGGCCTTCAGATCGGGAAGCCCCACGTGAAGCCGGCTTCACCTTATATGAATGTGTGCGGCTTAAAAAAGGAGTAATTAAACAAAAATAATTCTTTTTCATTTTCATTCCAAGAAACAATAGTGAAATTATTGATCAAGACCACAGTCAAAGAGTATGGATTGGTATAATACCCCATACCATTTAGATCATTTAAATAAATAATCCATAAACTAGAGTTGATTATAAATTAGTGATGATCTATATTCATAAATCATATCCAGGTTTTCTTTTAGTAATACTTAACATATAAAATTTTTCGGCCATCATTGAAAAATTGTTCTATGTTTGTCATGTTGACAGAGATAAACTTCATTTATATTTGAGTTTTGGAAGAGTTAAAGATCAGAGGGGAATATCGAATATGTACTTAAACAATTACTTAATCATCTATAGCAACATCTGCTAACTTTTCACATTGTCAAAAATCTTCCTTGTTGCAAGTAAAAATGTTGTTTTTAACTCCACTAACCTGTAGTATATTGCCATGAGCTTAGTCACAATGCTTGTAGCAATTCCCACGAACCTTTGTTCAAGCAACGTCGTCTGACCTTTCATTGTTTCCAGCTTCTTCAATCCCTGCATTTCTCATGCTCATTCCCCTCTGTTCTCTTCTTCTCTCTTTTCTCCCCTTGATCATGACAGAGTAATTCATAAATAAGTGTATAACAAGAATATAATGTGGGTACAGAATGTGGGAAAAACCATTCTGGGTATTTGATTACCAGTTGATGGATCTATCTGTGGAATAAAAGTTTGGTCAGATGTAAACTCTACAGCTCAAGACTGGCAGGATAAGTCCAAATTAATTTTGATTTGCAATAGCATATATATCTAAAACATTCACCAATCTATAAATAGTTTTAAATATTTCATTTGACACCCAAACTATTAACATTCAACTAGTGGACAATACTGGATAGAGAGATAACCTAAGCATCAGCAAGCATATATATAAGGTGGATGAAAGTGCAGTACGTGTAAGAGCAAAAACCATAAATGAATGGAAGGAAGGTTATTGCAATGCTAGCTGACATACCAATTCAATGTCATCTATAGCAAAACAAATTCTTGGCCCATTTTACTTTACTTTGAGCATATATATAAGTGTGGGTTCCTCTAAATATGAAAATTGCTACAAAGTATAGTTTTAAGGGTGATGCTTTCAGCAAAATTCATCTCTGCCAGCAGAACCCATCTCATAGCGATCAAAAACCAAACATAAACATGAGTACATGATGATAGTTCTCTGCTCCATTTTTCCCCATGGGAAACAAGTCCTAGCACAAATTCCCACATCGAAACCTGATGAGAAATATGTTTTCTTAATAAACGCCTAGCTAGGAAGTTTGATCGCTGGGCTTGGTAGCGCAAGCTTGTAACCCGAGTGGGAGCATTATGATGGTGGAACAATTGGGCCTTCCTTGAAGGTTGGGTTTGGGTTGCTACCTACTAGCTTGTCCATTCCAAGTGGTGAGTTGGGCGGTGGAGTCTTTGCAAAGGCAGAGGCTTCTTAGCCCTTAGATTGGAGGGTACTGCGTGAGGCTGGCTTCACAGAGCAGCGAAAACCTCCTCCTCTCTGCAGTGGAAGGATAACAGGCTGGGGCATTCTAAGCCCACAAATGCCACCATCTTTTTAGCCCAATATGAAGTTTTTCCGGTATTAAAACTTAGAAGAAAAGGGGTGGTGCACTGAAGGGAAAGAAGTCCATACATTGTAATATTCTGCAAATTTTCTGTCCGATGAATATAAATCTTCACGCAAAGATGCTTCTTCTCTCTCAACGTCCTCCTCAATTGCCAACTTTACTCTGTTTAGATGATCAGTTAGATAACTTGTCTTAGAGCTATACAATGAAGAATTGTAGAGATAAAAATCTATATAAATATATCTCGACTCTTCCCCTGGCTTCAGTTTTTGCAGAGTCCTTTTAAAAAAACTCTTGTAATGAAATAAAGTTTAAAAGCTAAAATGGCAGATGCTAGAGTAGATTGTGCCACATGCCAAGTTATGTTATTATTGATCAAGGCCACAATCAAACAATATGGATTGTATAATACCAATTAGATTAATCAAGTAAATAATCCATAAACTAGAGTTGATTATAAATTATTCATGATGTAAAGTCTACAGCTCAAGACAGGTAGGATAAGCCCAAATCAATTTTGATTTGCAATAGCATATATCTCAAACATTCACCAATCTATAAAGGCAACATAACATTCAACCAGTGGACGATAGTGGATAGAAAGATAGCTTAAGCATCAGCAAGCTAAGACATATAAAACAGAGAAAGATTGAAAGTCAAGAATGAAGATGGATGAAAGTGTAGGAGCAAAAACTATAAATAAATGGAAGGAAGGTTGAATGGAGTTTAGTTTCCCATTCAGGGAAGCAAAGCTTCCAAGCTGTCTCTGCAATTTCATTCAGTGAACAAAAATGATACAATTTTCATCACAAAATTAAAATAAAAATCAAGACTTCATCTACATACCTAAGTTTTGGTGAACAATATGATACACCACCGCAGAAAACCACGAGTACACGATAGTTGTCTGCTCCATTTTTTCCCCATGAAAGCCAAACCAGCCCTCGCACAATTCCCACATCGAAACCAGATGAAGAATATGTTCTCTTAATAACTCCCTAGCTAGAAGAATTGCTTGCTGGGCTTGGTAGCGCAAGCTTGTAACCCGAGTGGGAGCATTATGATGGTGGAACAGTTGAGCTTGCCCTGAAGGTTGGGCTTAGTATGCTATCTTCTGGCCTGCCCATTCCAAGTAGTGAGTTGATGGAGGAGTTTCCACGAAGGTGGAGGCTTCTGTGTCCTTAGAACGGAGGGTACTGCGTGAGGCTGGCTTCACAGAGCAGCGAAGACCTCCTCCTCTCTGCAGTGGAAGGATAATGGGCTGGTGCATATTCAGTCCACTAGTGCCTGATTGGCTGTCCAAATTGAACCACCATCTTTTTACCTGTTGGCCAAGTTAGCATGGGCCACACAGCCCAATAAAGCCTTTACAACAGTTAGAGAGCTAAATGGGAGTGTGAAGTGTTCGGCCATGTTAGCATGGGCAACAAGAACATTTTTTTCCAAATTTAATATTTTAGATAAAATTATTCAAAATTTCAAATGATTTTAAAATTGAAATATTCAGAATATTTGTGAATGTGTTTAGTATTGGGACTCCTTAATAAAAGCAACATTGTATTATATATGTGAATTGTATTTGCCTACAATTCAACTAGAGTTGATTATAAATTAGTCATGATCCATATTCATAAATCACATCCAGGTTTTCTTTTAGTAATACCTAACATATAAACTTTTTTCTGCCATCATTGAAAAATTGTTTGAGGTTTGTCATGTTGACAAATAACTTCATTTATATTTGAGTTTTGGAAGGGTTAAAGATCAGAGGGGAATCAGATGTGATTAAATTATTGCTTAATAGTTCCATGTAGACAGAGCCAATATGGTATCCCGAAAAAATAAAATTCATTCATAAATAACAGTATAACAAGAATATAGTTTGGGGAGAGAAGGCGGGAAATACCTTTCTGGAAGACGAGCTTTTGATAAGATACACCAATCTAAAAAGGCAATAGCATATATCTCAAAAAACATTCACCAATCTATTAATGCAACATAGCTTTAGATATTTCATTTGACACCCAAACTACTAACATTCACCTAGTGGACAATAGTGAATAGAAAGATAGCCTAAACATCAGCAATCATATAAAACAGAGATAGAATGAATCAATGAAGATGGATGAAAGTGCAGTGTAGGAGCAAAAACCATAAATGAAGGGTTCAGCATAGATGTGTTCCTCTAAATATGGAATTTGCGACAAAGTATAATTTTAAGGGTGATGCTTCAGCAAAATTCATCTTTTTAAATATCTTTCTGAATTGAAGTGGCAAATGGTTCAGAAAAAAGGATGAATTTTTAAAAGATTTGCTGCAGAAAGCACTTGCTGATACTCTTCCACCAATGCAATTGCCTCTATGTAAAGTGTAAAACTGCCTACATTATTTATCCATAATCCATAAAAAGGTCAAATTGTACTCAAATTAGAATGAAAAAAAATAAGCATAATCTCAAATCACAATCCTAATTTCCCCTAAACTCTATATAATCAAAACTGCAAAATTTTACATATATAGCACCCATGATTCCAAATAATGCGGCCGATTCTTTCCTCATCTCCTCCCTCGCGGCCTCGCCTGCATCAACATACATCCAACCACATTTGAATGAAATACAAATTTTCTCTCGGAACTTTTAGTAAAAAAAAAAATGTGGAAGTTATAAAGATGGAGAGAAAGCATGAGGGGCTAAGCAACTGATCGATCAGCAGAGTAACGTCCACCGGGAGGTTCTGTGCTCCGTTACTGAGTCCCTTCACCTTTTTCCGACCACAACCAGTCTATACGAACCGCCGCTGCAACTTCAATTCATTTCTAAGTTATTGGTGAACAATGATTCAACGCAAAAACCATGAGTACACGATACTTCTCTGCTCCATTTTTTGCTATGAAACCCAAGCATGTCCTCGAACAACTTCCCACATGGAAATTACAGCAGAAATATTTTGTCTTATTAACGCCGTAGTTAGGAGAATTGCTCGCTGGGCTTGGTAACGCAAGTCTGTAACCCGAGTGGGAGCATTAAGATAGTGGGAACAATTGGGCATGCCTTGAAGGCTGGGCTGGGGGTGCTATCTTCTGGCCTGCCCGTTCCAAGTGGTGAGTTGTGCTGTGGAATCTCTGCGAAGGCGGAGGCTCCTCGGCCTTTAGATCGGAGGGCACCGCGTGAGGCTGGCTTCACAGAGCAGCGAAAACCTCCTCCTTTCTGCAGTGGAAGGATAACAGGGCCGGTGCAGTCCTTGGTCCATTAGCGCCTGATGGGCCTCCCAAATTGAACCACCATCTTTTTAATTTTTCATTCGGACGCATGCGAATCTCTCCTCGGCAAGGTGCAGCAGCAGTGGAGGCGTTGAGCTATCAGCTATGGAGAGGACGAGCTGCGTGTTGCGGAGCACCGAAGCTGCTAATCTGCTAATGGGGAAAATATTATTACATAAAAAAGGAGTTTGGTGGAGGAATATTTGGACAATCTGCTAGAATAAAACACACACACACACACTATGTCACTATTCACCATAGCGGAGAGAATATGACGTGAATCATGTTGATAACGTATTATAAATTGATCTTTTTAACTCAATCTTTTGAGATGATTTTGTCGTAGTTGTACGCAAGAACAATATGAAAAGAAAAATAAAGAGAAGATCAAAAAATTGAAGGAACCACTCTTTCTTTCATTAATAACTGACAAGAGTATATATTTGAAAAATAAAGAGAAGATCAAAAAATTGAAGGAACCACTCTTTCTTTCATTAATAATTGACAAGAGTATATATATAATATATACAAGTTAATACCATCTACAACTTCCGAGTATAGCAGTTTTGTCACGTTTAGTCCTACACTTTCAAATTATCACACATGATTCTTCGACTTTCAAATTGTTATCATCTATGGTCCAAGTTAACCACCCATAGTCCTTCAACTATAAAATTTTAACCACCCATGGTCCTTCCAAGAGGACCGCGATTGGTTAAATTTCGAAAGTTGAATGACCATGGGTGATTAACTTGGATTAGAGATGGTAACAATTTGAAAGTCGAAAGATCATAGTAGTAATTTGAAAGTTTAAAACTAAACGTGACAAAATCAGTATAGCACAATCCAGAACAGTAAAGTTATCTGGCAGAAGTTCTTGCTGCTGTAACAATTAGGTTAACCAAATAAAAAGAAACCTGGTGTGGTTTTAGTTCTCCAGCAAAAGCATCAATTTCAGGTTTGAATTTGTTGGAGGTAGAGCAGAATGCAGAATTTATGGATTCATAACAAGCAGGAGCATACCTTCTGCAAGATTGGATAAATTTTCAACTTTGAGCAGCGCTCATCCTATGGAATGATAAAGAAAAAATTAGTCAGATTCCAGAATGTTACAAAATAAATTCCATATACGGGGTTTCAAGTTGTATATATAGATGGAGAGAGTACAAATTGGAGATGATATATAGTTGATGTAGTGGATTTGGAGAGGAGAGAAGCATAGGGGGCTAAGCAGTGACGCTCTAGTTGCTCTGTTACTGAACCCCTTCACCATTTTCCTACCACAACCAAATCTATACAAACCGCCGCTGCAACTTCAATTCATTTCTAAAACTTCAGCAAACTACAATTAAACTAAATAATAAAACAAATGAAAATATATAATGTGAGATGGAAATGAACTTATATAGGGTGTGATTGGACGCTGCCAGCACTCAGCAGAATCCAATCATCTCTGTCATTTCGTTCACTCGCTTCCAGGCTATATATGTCTCTGCTTCACATATAAGCCCCTCACCTCTTCAACAAAAATGATACAATTTCCATCACAAAAACAAAAATCAAGGCTTCGCAAATCTAATAGCTGTCAAAAACCATGAGTGAATAACATTTTTTTTCATTCATAAATTATACTTTGTCGCAATTTCCATATTTAGAGGAACACATCTATGCAACTATGCTCAAAGAAAATATATGAATGGACTCCTTAATAGTAGATGTGAGACTTTAAAAATGATAGCATTTTTTTTTTTTTTTTGAAATTTTTTCTTTCTTCATTTTCCATTCCAATAAATATTGTTAGGAAATAACATTTTTCATTCCTTCATAATATGAATCTCATTCAAAGACATCCAAAAAAGTAAACCAATCAAAGTAATTAATTTTTAATCCAATAATATAATCCAAACCTTTTCAACAGTCATATCATGAAGTCACGAGCTTAACAAGTAACTAGTAGTTGGGTTATATAACAAGATTATTAGTATAATAATTTTAATATTTAGGCACTTCTCGACCTTTAAGGTCATGAAATCGGCCAATTTGTCAATACTATGTGTTATATACTCATATAAAAAACATATCAATTCTATTATTATTCTCTATACATTACATTATTATCTAACACACGTCATGATCAACTAGTCACACACTACCAAATCAAATTTGTTGATGAGATTCTAACATTGTGATCCCTACTATGATTATAAATAGAGGCCACCGTCAACTAGTTGAGTGATATGATTTTCACTTTCTAGTATACTTTCTGACCTAACAAAGCCTTTCAAACTCATTTTGTATTTAGAAAATTGAATTTTAACTTATTAATTCTATTAAAAAGAATACATCTTCCGATCCACATTTTACTACAATCATATATCTCTTTTAATTTATTTATTTAAATGAACATTAATTTGTTAATTGTTATGTCATTTGTATTTAGAGATGAAAAATGTTAACGTGGTCTCTCTCTGAGTTTCCCTTAGAGAGTTTTCTCCCTAGTTCTCTAGGGTCACTACCCCATTATGGCTGATTATCCCCCACTATGGCGTTCTTTCCTCTCCCACGATGCAGTCCTCCACGTTCTCCTCTGCATGCTATTTACGTATGCGATCATTCCAGCTTTCGATCACATCATTCCATCACTCGGCACCATACTGTTCTGTCAATTTATTCACGATCGATTCTCCGATCGACTCCCAACCGCGGTGATCTACGATCTCCGTCACGTTTACTCTGCGATCAACGCACTCTGTGATCTGTTTCACGATCGGCCTAGTCACGTTTATTCTGCGATCAACGCACTCTGTGATCTGTTCCACGATCGGCCTACGCACGGTACCGCCATCGCTCTGCTTCGCGATCGCATTACACAAAACACGGGCTCCGCTCGAATTTCTGCACTCGACTCAGTCAGCCTTTTACGTCCGGTTCGTGATTCTAGCAGTCTCCGTATCCCATCCGATCATATTACCTGTCACCCGATTGATCTGATTTGGTTCCCCATGGACACTCAAGAGATTGAGGAGGCTTGTGCGATTATGAAGCTGTCGGAGGAGGAAACAGGCGGATTGGAGGCTCCTGAAGGACAGACTGCCACACCGGAGATCTACCACTATGAAATGGTGGGACGTTTCTTAACTGATCGTCCGATCAAGCATGAACACATGCAACAGGTTCTAGCGGCGGTCTGGAGGCCAGTCATGGGCATGCGCATTGTTCCGATCGAAGAGAACCTATTTCTGTTCCAGTTTCCGCACCTGAAGGACATGCAACGCGTCTCGGACAATGGTCCCTGGACTTTCGAAAACCACACTCTGGTTTTCGACAAGGTGCCGATCAGAACGAATCCAACAGATGTCAACCTCGGCTTTGTGGATTTCTGGGTTCAGGTACACGATTTACCATCTGTTTATGCCTCTACGGATTTCTTATCCCGCATAGGAAACTACATCGGCTCGTTCAAAGCGATCGATCCTTACAATTTCGGAAGTAATTGGCGTAGCTTTTTCCGGATTCGTGTCCGGATCGATGTTCTGCTTCCCCTGAAACGCAGAATGCGTCTAATTCGCAAGGATGGATCGGTGCACTGGGTGAACTTCAAATATGAGCGCCTCGGTACATTTTGCTTCTGTTGCGGGGTGTTGGGGCATGCCCAAAAATACTGCAAGGAAGCCTACGATGAAGGCCTGGAACCGACTGATTACACCTATGGAGCATGGATGCGAGTCGGGGCTCGCCGTCAGGTGAGGCCAATAGGTGCGAAATGGCTGCTGCAAGATCTTCCGACCGTTCCGCCGGCGACTACCCTGTCTTCGGGATCGGTTATCCAGGAGGTGGCGTCGATTGAAGCCGCGAGCAGTCTGCACGGAGATCTGAAGCGTCGAAGGGAAGGGAATGAGGAAGGGGATATAGACATGGTTGATCATTCAAAAAACTCAGATTTGGCGGGTCTGGCGGTCCAGGCTCGCCCCACGCAATGAGCATCTTGAGCTGGAACTGCTGGGGATTGGGGGGCGACCGGACAGTTCAGGAATTGCTAGGTCTCGTATCCAGCCAGCAACCCAGCTTCGTTTTCCTTATAGAAACGAAGGCTACGAAGACATATGTGGAACGAATAAAAGTGCGCATGGGATTTGAAGGTCTGCTATGCGTGGAACGGAGTGGCATGGGAGGTGGATTAGCTTTGTTTTGGAGGGACGCAGCTATGGCCACATTACTTTCTTATTCTGCAAATCACATCGATGTAAGTGTTTCTTTACCAGATACCCCAGCATGGCGCCTAACCTGCTTTTACGGTGAATCGGACCAAAATCGGCGGCAAGAATCTTGGGACCTCCTTCGGGAACTCAGAGATCGGTCAACTCTCCCATGGGTCACCATAGGAGATTTTAACGACATCACATGTCAGTCAGAAAAGCGGGGGCCTCATGCTCAACCCACAAATCTCATTGAGGGTTTTAATGATGCGCTTATGGATTGTCAGTTGTTTGATTTGGGCATGGAGGGAAGTAGATTCACTTGGGAAAGAGGACGCGGTACAGATGCTTGGGTCGAAGAACGCCTAGACAGAGCTGTGGCTACTCACGGTTGGTTAGAAATTTATGATTCGGCAGTTGTCCGCAACTTACTTACAATGGAATCTGATCACAACGCCATCCTTCTGGATATGGAATCAAGAACTTTCCGTCGGGCGAAGAAACGTTTTAGATTTGAATCTGCTTGGTTACAGGATGAGGGTTGTCACAAGGCAGTAGATCAAGTATGGCGATCAACATTGGGGATGAATTTTCAGGACCGGATCACGGAATGTGGGAGTTATCTGGGCAAATGGGGGGAGGACTATTTCCGGCGTAATGGCAAACAGATAAAATGCCTCAGACACAAATTGGAAAATTTAAGAGACTCACGGGAACAGCAGGATGTGGCCGATTATATTGAAACTGAGGGGACACTACAGGGTTTGCTACGACAAGAAGAAGTCTACTGGAGGCAACGAGCGAAACAGCTTTGGCTCAAGCATGGTGACCTCAACACGAAATATTTCCATAAATCAACCTCGGCCAGACGTCGAAGGAACCAGTTGCACCGCATTAGGAACCCGGAGGGTCAGTGGCTTGAAGGTACGGAGCTAAATGGCGAAGTACTGCGTTATTACTCATATATTTTTCAGTCCACAGGCATCAACGCTGACATCTTTAACCACGTCCCGAGTCGAGTATCACCGGAGATGAACGCTACACTAGCGTTACCTTTTACCATCGTGGAAATTAAAGAAGCCTTATTCTCTATGGCACCGGAAAAGGCGCCAGGTCCAGACGGTATGTCACCCGCTTTCTATCAACATTTCTGGCCTATTTTGGGTCACGACTTGTTTATTTTTATTACTCACTGCTTATTGGATCGTTCTCTACCACCGAGTCTGAACGACTCGAACATTGTCCTGATTCCAAAGAAAAAGTGCCCCGAGAAAGTTTCTGATTTGCGCCCAATCGCCCTATGCAATGTAGTGTACAAGGTGCTAGCCAAAGCATTAGCAAACCGTATGAAAAGCTTACTTCACAGCGTGGTGTCGGAGTCGCAAAGTGCTTTTGTTCCCGACCGTCTACTGACTGACAACATTATTGTGGCCGGAGAAGTGGGTCACTATCTGAAGAGGAAAACCAGTGGGGCTATGGGTTGGACCGCATTGAAACTCGACATGGCCAAGGCCTACGATCGTATGGAATGGGGATTCCTGAAAGGTATGCTCACGGCACTGGGCTTTGACAGAAGTTGGACTCATCTACTCATGATGGGAGTCAAATCAGTAATCTATCATATCCAGGTAAACGGCGAGACTGTGGGTACTATTTCCCCGACACGTGGCATTCGGCAGGGAGACCCTATATCTCCATATATGTTCATTCTTTGTGCTGAGGGGCTTTCTGTGTTATTACAACAGGCTGAGAGACAAGGGGACATTCATGGTATTCGTATTGCTCGGGGAGCGCCGGCGGTGACACATCTATTCTTCGCCGATGATAGTCTTCTATTTTTCAGGGCCACGAGTACGGAAGCTCAGACTATCAGGAACTGCCTCGATACATATAGTGCTGCGTCAGGCCAGGTAATCAACTATGAAAAATCAAATATTATGTTCAGCATCAATACCACTTTGGAAGCCCGCTCTAGTGTGATGGAGTTTGTGGCAGTACGAGAATGCAATGATTTGGGCCGCTACCTAGGACTACCCTCGTTTTTGGGGCGTAACAAGTCGGCT